TCCCGATTAATAATTCTCAATTATGAGCACTAGAATGAAGAACTGATAACTGTACAATTATTTTGTTCTTAAAATGTAACCAGGAATATAAACATTGAATGAAATATATACTTGAGCACTAACAATCACTAGATTTAGGGCCCACTTCTTTGCCCCCAAAACATAGAGCCAGATAGGCCTAGCTTCAAATTATGACTCAACGACTAATGAGCTCTCCAAAATTGGCCATCTGATCTAACCTCTCTGCACTTTGGATTCCTGATACACACATTGAGGACAGTTAAAGGGCTGATCGCATCAAACAGTGGTGATTGAAATGACATGGTATGTACATAAAGTAATGCCTAGCTTCTGTCATCATTATTGATATTTAATACATCTTTCTCAGTCTGATAGATCCCAATGCCATATTGTGCCTTAATGGCCTTTAACTATCTATAGGATTTACTCACTATATCCTTGTAGTGTTTGTTCTCTTTCTTAATGAATGTGACTCATCTCTTCAAGCCAAGTATAATCTTTGAAGAATCGAGATCCATTTTCTTGGGACTCTACAGAATACTCAGCATCGTGTCATGTACATAGTCGATATTTTATAAGGTATTTCTGGATTGATGCCACCTCTCTATCTAGTTATAACCTCATTTCCACTTTCTTCTTGCTGTAGAGAGCTTGCACTTCAATAGAAATTTTAATAGAAAAAAGGCCTGCAGATGGGGATTGGGGGCAGGACCCACAAGTATTGTTGGGAAAAGCATGAATTTATGAGTCAAATTGGCCTTGGATAGATTTATTCTACTCATTAGTTATGTGTTGGATGTAAGTGGAGAAAATAATTTCCACTTCATAGTGCTCATATTAGGATAAGTAATATGTGCTGGCACATGATGCCAAATGTTCAGTCTTCTTCCTTTCTTCCACTGCATTGATGACATCAGTGACATTCAAAACATTTACAAATTTCCCATTGTATATAGCTCCCATTATTAGATCTGCAATGCTACCAACACAATTACCTTTGCAATACCTAACCCATGTTGGTACATATAGGCCAGATTGAACATGGCTTGTGCACTGTGGTATTTGTCAGCTGCAATACTGTAATGTGTGGCTGCTGTTTGATAATCTTTCTTAGTCCCGTAGCCATAGTAGTGGTAATCTCCAATTTTTACCCTAGCAAATGCATTTCCTAAAAGAAAGAGAAGAAAGAGAAGAAGAATTCAAATATCATCTATACTTCCTAGCAATTCAACCTAAGGATAATATATATAAAAGCAGAAAATATTCAGAATCCCAGAATTAGTATTCGAGTTTGTGAAATACAAAATATGAAACTAAGTGGTAGTTGTCTTCATTGTAGGTTAACTCCCATGGTAAACAAACCACTGTGAATTTTACCTTTAAAATTTGTTTTTTGAAGGTAGGTCAATTCTTGGCAAACTGGATCTCATCCTTTCTATTCATAGACTTATTTCACTCCTGAAACTCTACTCTCCTACATCATTAGTTTCTCCCTCTTTACCAGGCTAATCCCCTCAATAAAAAAAATACTTTGATATCTTGTTTGAATCAAACAAACCTTGTCTTTGTCTTATGGTGTCTCCTTTTAAATACAGTCCTTTTTCTATTCCTGTAACATGACTTTCATAAGTAAGTTCTTCATTGACTAGATTTACCAAGCTTCCCCTTCCATGATCCTCAACCCCCTTTCCAATCTGGCTTTTGCCTGTGCCCAATAAAGCCTTTACCTTTAAGGCAGTTAAAATTTTCCTTTCCCTACTCTCTCCTCCTCTCTCTTCTATATCAACTGTTTCTCTAGATGATCTCATCTAGTTTCATGGCTACATTATGTTTGCTGTTCTTGTACTTATGCTTGTAGTTGAGTCTTTCTCCAAATTCCAGACTCTCTATAATTTCTACTTGGCTTCTCTACAGGGATCTTGATAACCAATAGAGGTTGCTAACACCGTAATACCTCTTCCCACAAATAAAACCAAACAAAAGTATCGGTGCTTTTCCTTTCTCAGTCCTACTACTGTTGTTAAGGCCATAAATCTAGAGGAGTTTTATTCAGTTAATTTTCTCTCACTTCCATCACTGAATTCATAAGCAACTCCTGTTGATTCCACCCTAAAACACACCTGTTTCTCTCCAGTTCAGGCCTGGAATACTATAATGGCAACCAAACTGTTCCTTTATCTTCACTTTTCAATCTATTCTCTGTACAACCACCATGATGATCTGTTTAAAATGTAAAGTCAATTCAACTGATTTCTTTTCATAATACCTCCAAGTACTTCACTTGCACTAATATCCAGATTCCTGACCTACAAGTTTTGTCTTTACTGCCTTTTGCTTCCCTGATTTGTCTTATCACAGTTACCTTCTCTTAATAGTCTTTAATCTTTTTAACATTCCTTCAACACTTCAAGCTCATTCTTGCCTTAGGATCTCTGTATTAAGATTCTTCATATCCTTTTGCCTGACATGTTTTGAATTCCTCTGACTCTTCCTGTGTTTGCAGTTCACTATTCAGTTCTCACTGGGAATATTACTCCCCTCCTAGAATCCTTCTCTGACTTACCTTTTCTAAAGCATCCTCTCAATCCCTCTGCCAAATAGTTATTTATCTCATGTCCGTGTTTTACTTCCTTCACTGAACATATGACGGTTACCCTTATTACTAATATATTTTCTCTCTGTCTCTATTGAGAGCAAGAAACTTAACATTGATATAGCTCTAGAACCTACACTGGTATTTGGTACATACATATGGCATGAATGGGCAAGAAACATTTTACAAAATGCTCTTTCAGATGTTAAGTAATTTAGAACCTTAATTCTCAATAAACAGATATGTTCAAGAATAGAAAAAATTATGCAGTTTTTAAAGATGTGCAACTTCAGTTTTTTGAAGGTCATTTAGCAATGACCTTTACTGGTCTCTTTGGGGTCCACATTTTTATTCACAGGGATAATTTTTATTGAAGAGATGAGGAAATGCTCATCTAGGACACATTCATCTCAACTATGGCCAACCTCTTTCCAGTTTAGGTGCACTTGGAAAAGGGAAAAGTAGTCCATGTGGTGTGGTTTGAGGGGTAGTATTATATAGATCTCCTTCCAACAATGTCTATTCATTGGCATAGTGCAATACTTAAAATCCTTTGGAATTAATTCCTTTGGGTACTAAAGCTCTTTTAGTGCTCTATTAAAAATGTAATGTATGGACTGTTTTGGGGTCTCTCCAAGTAAACTTTACAAATTCTTAAGATGCCCAAGACATCAGTTATGAATATCTGCTTCCCAGGTGCTTCAAATTGTATGGGTAGCTGGTGGCCTGGTCTTATAGAAATGATACTCAGGAGTCTGCAAGGGCCTGGGTAGACAAGAGGCCCCTAGGGTCTACTCCATATCTAATTTTCCCAAAGTTGACTTACTTTTATCCCAAAATTCTTGCTGTTCTATTAGCATAAAAGGACAGAACTTCTGGGTGTTAGTGAGCTTTAAAAGCAGTAAGCAGGATCCCTGAAGTCTCTGAGAAAGGGAGGTAGTAACCAAGAAGTTCTCAAGGGTATTCAATTCCACCTTCATTAGGGGGAATGATAGGGGCATGTGGCAATCCTGAAAGATTCCCCGAGTCACTTGACAGTATGAGGTATTTCCCCTTGAATTTCAGTCACAGGTGGTGACTAAGTCCTGATGGTTTAGCTCCTTTCACACATATAGCAACAGTTCAAAGAAGTACCATCTGTGACCTATTGGAAAATTTTCATTATTAGATTTCCTAAATTCAAGTGAGCTACTGAGCAGTCACATCTTTGGGGACATTTATGCCTGACCTCTTTTGTAACATAATTATTTTCAATGATCTGACATTTTTAATGTGATGAATTCTGCTTAATATTCATGCCCCCTCATTTTCAGCATCTCTTCATTAATGCAATCTTCACACCATTTCCTGACTTAGATAAAACTGTATTTGTTGTGATTGAGCTGATTTGCCACAGCTTAGAGTTTCCTGATGTTATTTTCTCACTCCAAACAAGATCGTTATTATGTATGTAAGCAAAAAAAGATTTTTTTATCCCCCAGAGAATATCTTACTTAATGCATTGGATGGTTTGCTGCTGTATTATAAGCTCAGTGAATTTGAGAAGGTAACACTGTGACTTTTACTTCTGTCCCATCTTAGCATCAGTTGAGAATAATTTCTTACCCCATTCACTTCTTGTATAAAAGGGATGATTTGACCTTAGCATGAGATGATTTTAAGAAACATAATTGGAAGTAGAATTGCTCTTTTACTGTAAGAGAGTTACTCACATATCCAAATGCCAGTGATGACAGTTTCACAGTATCGCTCTGCTTTTTATAATATAATTTTAGGGGAAGAATGGAAAGAGACGTGGTGATGCAAATACCACCTGGCAATGCTTTCCCATCACTGATAGCTTACATTCCTTATCACATGTGATCCTTGTGAAGGGACAGGAATTTCAGGAAAGGAGAGAGGCTTTTGTCCATTAACCCTGAACTTTCTTTAAAGGATTGGTACATGCCAATGGCTAAGAGATCAAGAATTTGTGATAATCATCAATGTACTATTTTAAAAGAGAACCAGAGGAGCCTTAGACCCACCTAGGTCACATCTTTAAGTTCAGGAGAGAAACTGAGCAAATAAATGATGGAAACCAGAGCAAGAAAACTGGTTTGTTTCTTCAGTAATTTGTTCCAAATGGTCATTATGGTGCCATAGAAATAGAACCAGAGAAAAATACCTGTATTTTGCTAAGCCAGGAACCTTGGGAATAGCAAAGAAATTCCTGGAAATGAACTCTAATCAAAGGCTAACATCAGTATGCTTAAAATATCAAGTAGGTGGCTACTTGATATTCTATATCATCCTGCCTATGTACCCAAGAATTAGTGGGAGACAGTCAGGTGAAACATAGTGGAGAGGGACCAGGTATGGACTAATTTTTATCTAATTTCTATACCTTGGATGGCAGCTCGATTCCATAGGAGAAGAGCCATTGGATACATTTTCTCTTTTTCAAGAATTTTAACCTTTCCTTAAAAAAAAAAAGAAGATATTCCATTAGGAAAGCAAAAGTACCCCATAATAAAGTTTACAGTCATATGTATAATTGGGGAATTGCAGCGAATTTTAACTTATCTTACTAGATTCCAAAATAAACGCTGAATTGCTTTGAGCTACTTCATACCCCATTTCTGCAAGAAGTGCATACTGAACAAGAGAAGAATCTACATCACCATCCTTATAAGCAAAGTATGCTGTCAGGAATTTCTCAGCCCAATGGCCCAGTTCACAGACACCTTTATAAAGCTGTACGTGGGAAGAGAAATCAAGCAGATAAGTTAGCTAATATGCTTTATCTCAGGTAAATGATAAATGACATCAGTCTAAAGCTCCTGCTGGCTGGTCAGATAAGGGTTTCGGCTACAGCACATTATTTAGAATAAATACTTTGTAATGCCTTTCACAGGCACAAGGGTTACAAATGTGTATTGTTTTGTTTTATTTTTTGAGTCAAAAACTTCCGTAGGCTTATTTTAAATTTGTGTAATAAACTTTGCAGGCTTGGAGACTATTTGGCAGAACAAAAAAGTCCTTTTTTTAAAAAGGGCATTTTGGGGGACTGATGCAAATTATAAGACCACAGCTGATATGAAAAAGAGAGAATAAAGGGAAGACAGTGCCTGAGGGTGTAGGTGACATAACTGCAAGGGTGGTGTGCTGAGTTCCATGGGGACAAACGTCAACATAGCTGAATAGCCCTTATGTAACCAAAAGAGGTTAGCCATACATAATTCATTAGGAAGTTGGCAAAGGAGCAAATCTAAAGATAGATTATTAGCTGGCAGCTTTTGAAAGTTGTTTCACAGGGGCCAGATTACAACATGGAGGTATTTATATGTTGTGGAAGTGTTTAATAAATCAATAAAGGGCATTAACGTCCTAAAAGCATTTTTTGAAAAGTACATCCTGGATCAGGCTGAAAGAATTCACTTTCTCAGTTATTATCAAAATCATCAAAAACCTAAGGGCCCTCCTTTCTGGGAAGAAGTGTGCTACATTTTCTAGGCCAAATCGGGCCTTTGATTTTCCAAGTAGTAATTCCCAATACTACAAGAAGTGCCAAATTGCCCTGATGATTTGATAGAAGCTTGAAACATAGCTCCTTAACTGAATTTTGAGGTGAGATCTGAACTTGACGAAAAGCCAAATGCAAGAAAGGAGCTATCGTTTCTTTTCCTCCCTTTCCCAATCTGAGTTACATCACGGCTTTTCCTCCCTGGCAAATGTCAGCGCTCACATTGTCAATTGGAAGAAAAGAGGTAATATCTTTAAGAGCAAAGACACCAACAATTTAAAGACAGTGCCATCTCCTTTGTGTGATAAATGGAAAGCACTTAAAAACAGTTCATTATTTACCTCCACAGCCGTTCGACATGATCTTACGACTCCTGTTCCTGTTGCGTACATCTCAGCCAGATAATAAATGGCAAGGGGCTGCCCACTTTGAGATGCCAAGTAGAAATATTTGAAGGCAAGTTTATAATCCTTCCATACTCCAGAACCAGCTGAAAATTAAATTTGTTTACTTTCAGGGCTTCTCTTATTTATTATATTTCTTACCTTATAACCTATGAGTATGATTGTTATAGTAATGCCTGCTATTTTAAACAGGATGAGAAAGAAAAGCCAACCCAAGCCAAGCTGTCTAAATCCATTATTTAGGGGAGGAGGGGAACTGAGTTTGATTATAGGCAAACAGAAATTAAGTTTATGGGCTCATGATATATTTTTTAAAAAACTGAAGGGGAAAGACTGTCTAGTCTCATGAAATATCTCCTTGATATGGTTCAACTTGAGTTAATGAAAAGGACACCAATTAGGCTTTCTGAGAACGAGGCGCTCCACCATTACATGTCTCACCATCCTGTCATCTCTCGAACCGGAAGACCAGTCTAGTTTCTCCCAGCCGTTAACTATACAGTTTGGAGCAGGCAAATCCCAGTTCCAGGAGGCACAGCTTAGTCTCAACTTATATTTTGAGCAAGAGGTAATTGAGGGAGGGGTAGAGCACAAAAAACTACAGCAGAGAACTATGGGTGTCTTGGTGGTGGGAGAGCTACGGTGACCACATCTAAGGGGATAAATCCTGTATTTAAAAAAAACAAAAAACAAATAACTAACAGATGTAAAACAGTGGTACTTCATTATTACAGAAAAGAAGAAGTAATTGGAGCTAGGATGTGATCAGCATACTCCCAGCAACTGAGATTCTTGTTCTGCATTCCCATTTTCCTTTTATGATTTGGGCACTTCATCTATAAAAGGAGGGACTTTTAGTAGTTGAGCTTAAGTTCCTTCCAGCACTCACAATTCTAAAAGAAAACTACAACTTCAATTAAAAGCAAAGGCTCTAGTGGCAAATTACTTATCCTAGAATCTTAGTCTTGTATGATATTAGGCAAGAGATTTCAACTCAATATGGTCATCTGTAAATTATGAAGTACATTCTAAATAAACTGAGAAGTCAATAAGTATATATAAAGCGTTAATAAGCATTAGCCATAACTGTTAAACACATATCTTAGAAGTTTGAGGTATCTGATAGAGCCTGGGCTTGGGACTTGGAATTAAGAATAAGGCCATTTTAGGAATCCCTTCTTCTCACCCTCATCCCCAAGATAATACATAACATGCCCTCCTGGGTCACTGTGGGAAATGTCAGCAAATCAGTTGGCAAAATCTAATCTTCTTGATAATGCCAGGTTGCTGTTACCCTAGCTCCCCATCTGACAGGAAGGACTTAGCAGATATACTCAAGCATTGCTGAGCTCTCCAGCTATTTATCTTGTCTACTGTCAGCCCCCACAAGACTTCATGGCTCCCTGAGATCTCCTAAACCAGTCATTCTACCATTGCTCTCAGAAGATAACTATGAATGAACGAACTAAGTTAATAAGGAAATTTTCACACTGACTTTTCTTACTAGCCTCTCCATCCTTCCCCCCACCACCTCATACTACATTCCCTCCCTCCAGACTTAGAGAATGAGAAGTCCCTCCTCTCTAATCAAGAATAATGAGGTATCTTCCCATCTGGATGCAATCAGACCCTAAAGCCAGCCAACTAGTTCCAGATCTCTTGACATTAATTATCTCATATCTTCTATGGTGCATTAACTACTTCCATTGACTACCTCTCTTTTTTTCTGTCAAAAATTATATCCAGGTCTCTCACCACTTTCAGAAAAGATCCCCCTTGGTTTTTCATCCCTTGTGCTACTATTCCATTTCTCTCCTTCTCCTTTTACACTTCCAAGAATATCTTTACTCATCTACTTCCTCACCTTCTGTTCACTGCTTAACTCACAGTATCTGACTTCCACCCCAACCAGTCCAATGACCTTATAAACAGCCTCCATTTGATAATCTCATGGATATGTGGCTGATCTTAATTTGTTTTGTAATGTAAGAACAAGACTTCTCACTGCATTTCATGGGGTGGGGTTGGGGTACCCATTAATTTACTTTCTTGAAATTTCCATCTCTGGGCTTCCTTAATATGATGATAGTTGTTCCTAATCCTCTGACCATGCTTTTTCAGTTTTCTGTGACAACTCTTTCTCTGCCCATCTTTTAAATATGATACTGAGGAACACCAGATTTCTGACCATGACCCACTGTTTCTCTCACACCCTTTTCCTTTGCAGACTCACTTACTTTTAACGATTTCTTATTAAAGTCTCCCAAACCTTTTTCTCCAAATTTGACCTTTCTTGTGGGTTTCATACTTGCTTCTGGATATGTGCATTGGATATAACAAAGCACCTCACAGTTAACCTTTTCAAACATGAACTTCCTAATTAAGCTCCTTGCCTCCTCCCCCAAAGGACATCTGGTGTCCTTTCCTTCCATTTTTTTTCAAATTCCTGAAGATACTGTCTGAAAGTTCTATCTAAATGTTCTATCATCAACCTTTTGATTTTGTCAAAAAAGAACAGACTTAGTCATGCATTTGTCATTCTAGTAAAATAGCTGTATTTGTAGCACTTACAGTAGTACATGAAGCCTAAATGAAACTGTGCATTGGGCCATCCTTTCTCTGCAGCTTTCTGAAAGTATTTAAGTGCTTCGGCATAATTCTGTAATATAATTATATCCTATTACTCAAAGTGTATGTAAAACTCCATGGTAACAATTGTATTCCATATTTATTTTTATTAATGGTATAGGTACTGCCCTGTATGATTTAGCTAATTAAAATAGTATTAGAGGAATTATACATTTTTTCATTGTATTAGATTCTATTAGGAAATAGCTACCTAATTTTCACTGTAAATTATATTTTTTCTTATATTGGCATGAGATTTTGTTAGCTATTTAGGGAAGGTCATTTAAAAGACACAGGTTAAACTCAGATAAATTTCTCTATCAACGAAAAAAAAAATCCTCAGGGGTTAGATGACTTCTGAGGTTACTTAGATTCTATGATTCTATGATATAATTAGGATTGTTATTCTTGTCACCAGTTTGTTCTTTATCTCTGGCAAATGTTTCTCTGGATTATTTTATTTTTTGTTATCACAGTTTGGCAAGCCAAGTTCAATATACTGACTCCTTTAAATTAATCAAAGATCATGAATTTTACCCTATAATTTGCTAGAGGTGTGTTTAAAGGTAGTGAAATTGTTTAACTTACCACAGGAACGCCTTTACCATAAAAATAAAGAAGACCCAGTCCATGGAGACCAATTGCATTACCCTAGAACAATTTTAAAAGTCCAAGTAAAGTTCCAGAAGAGTTCATCATAAGGAACTACTGCTACAGTTTATAAAAATATTTGAAATGTACCCATTAGGAGTTAATCAAGATAAGTTCATCAGACAGTTGACACCCTCTATAGTTTTTCCTTTCATAACCTCCTAAATTTGGCTCCTGATAACATCACCAATGTTTCCCACTTGATACTAAAATATCTCTTTTTCTGATTAATATTCTGAATAGGAAAAGTTACACAGTTAGCATACTTGGCATTTGGCACAGATTCAAATACGTTGATATTTATTATATCAATCCTGAAAGTGTGAACCTTAGAAGTGACTTTCCCAACTAGAAATATTAACTTTTTCTTTCCATCTACCATCACACATTTCAACTTTTAGTGACTAAGTAGGGAGACATGCTTGGCCACTTGGCTTTCATTCAGCCGATAGGTGCTTGTTTTAAAGATTTATAGGATTTCTTCAGGCACTCAAGTGCTGAAAGAAAACTCTCCAAATTTATTTTTACTAGCTAAATTTATTTATTGTGGCTGCAGCTAGTATATTCCTCAGTGATATAGCATTTCTCTAGCACATAGCCAGAGAAGGCACAGTTTGAAACTATCTCAAGACTCCAAAATTATCTAGGCACATTGAAAGGCCAATATTATTAAAATTCTTAAAGATAGTCTATCTGTATTTAAAACAGATGACATATCTCTGTGCACTTTCCTCTTCTATTCCTGACTACGTATGCTTATAGTTCTAGGAGTATTGGGATGTAGCAAGGCCTGGTGTAATGGATGTGATAAGTATAATGAGTGTGTCTTTCTAGCTAATTTGATTTAGGGGTTGAGAAAAATGGAAGCGAAGAAGAAAAAGTAAAAGAGAAAGTTTTAAAAAGTGGGGACAAATTATTTTCTTTTTAAAGAAAGCCCCTTGGAGACCAGGGGCTCGGTGTATATGTCACCATTTTCTTAAGTCCCAGAGTACCTGTTTAGGACCTTCAGGTCAGGAAGGGTCAACTCAGAGATCAAGGATTCATACAGGTAATATAAGAAGTATATTGTGTGAAGTTATGGAGGAAATGGTTAAGGCTGAGGCCACTCAGAGTTACTTGCCTTATCCAAAGGTGGTAGAAACTCCTCAGTGTTCTATTCTAGCCAGTGTTGTTACATGGGAATGTCAGCCCCATATGGTTTGACATTTTTGCAGTTCCAAGAAAAGGTAGATATCCAGATTTTCATAAGATGTTTCCTAATTTTATTATTTATTTATTTAAAAAGTTTCCTAATTTTAAAAACACTTTCTGGGCTAAACAAAAATATATGTGTAGGCAATCTGCCTATATATATCTTTCTCTTTAGGGTTCACTGTTTTTGCTTAGATTACATGACATGACATTAGGGAGAAGATGGTAAATTATTTGACAATTTTTTAAATGAAATCTACTCTGTTCAAAGACCCTTAGCCTCCTCTAGTTGAGGAGAGATGGCCTTCAGACAAGAGAGAAGACACAAGTTAGAAGCAGTAAAATTCAAGGAGTACATACAGTCATTTTAGGAGAGAGAAGAAATCACATGAAACAATAAACAGGTATGGGTATGACTTTGTGAAAGGAAAGAGAATTGACTCTGTTCTGGGTTACAGGTAGGATTCAGAGTGGTAGATGATTCTGGGAGTGGAGGAAATATGAAAAAAAAAAAAAAAAAACAGATGGGGATGGGCCTCACATGTTCAGAGATAAGAGAGAGAAAACCAGAAGGATATGGTACAATATGGTTCAAGCATCACATCACATAGCTAACTGTTCATGTTTCTGAGTAAATAAGACAAAGAGGCCATCAAATCTATAGATTTGCATCTGGGTACTTCTATGACTTAAAGATAAATTTAAAAAACAAGATGTTAAAAAAAAAACCAAAAAACATTTCGGTAGTGATGCCACGTGAGAAATCTAATAAATTATCAAGGATGTGATAAAGGAGTATATGGCCATGTCCATCTGATGCCATTCAAAAAAATTACCTTTCCATTCTGAATAAATACAATTTCAGGTTTTCTATATAAAAGAAGTCAGCTCAGGTTTAGAACACAAGTAGCTCAGATCACTGCTGGTTACAGGCCTAAAAAGCTTAGAAGCTGAGTTAATTTACACACTCAACTTCCTGGCATTGTTCCTTAGGGCTGTCAAATCAGCATTACTTGCCAGATTATAAGAACTCTTCCTCTGTTACATTACTCCACCTCTTTTTCAGTTTTCTCCCTCTTGTCGTCCTAATCTAATGGTACTCCAGATAACTGTCTTGCTGAGCAACAATTTCATATAAATTACAAGGGAGAGTACCAGCCTTCTCAGTAATTTACACCACAATAGCAGCATCTCTGAGGTGCTAGTCATTTATAAATAGGCTCCTAAAGCAGCATGTGGGCTTTTAAAAACTGAGAACGGTTGAAAATATGCCTCAATTTGAACACATCTTTACCGCCAGTGTTGCACTATGAAATTGTAAGACAACAAAATGCTTCTTAATGTGAAAGTTTATCAAGGCCATTCACCAACATTAAGCTAATGATTGTATTGGTATACACTAAAGAGATTCAGAGATGCATTGTAAATAAATTTTATCTGACACATACCAGCCTCACTGAACCTAGTGCCCAAGGCAAACACTTCTTTGACAGAAGCCATGTTATATAATTTTTATGTTCTCTCACAAATCCAGTTCATTTTGCCTTTGATATACTTTGAGGTTCATTCCACCTAACTGATCCCAGATTGCAAAAAATAATTTCTTACATGTAGCACTTAATATGTGTCACACACTGCTTTAAGTATACAATGCGAAGCCCATAAATGTTAACTCATTAAGTCCTGACAATAGGAATATGGGCAATTTTTAAAATTTCCTATTACCCTTTATTTTTTAAAAATGTTTTAATTGATTTAATTGTTTAACATTGGTTTACAACATTATATGTGATTCAGAGCTATAGGATCACACTTCCTTGAGGCAAATCTTTTTATATTCCCATTTCACAGAAGGGGAAATGGAGCATGGAGAAGTCCAGTAATCTTACATCTAGTGACTTGCATCCAAACTGGCAATTCTGTCTCCAGCACTGCGCTGTAACTCACTGTGTCAGGGTTTGTTCTCTGACAACCTTCTGCCTGGACCAAGGGGATTTCTGAGCTTTGGGGAAGACAATGGGCAGTTCTTGGTTGTCTCTCTCCTCTACTTACTGCAGCTTTTGAATAAGTTTTCCCTTGCTCTGCCCTCATCTCTTTTCCTGTTTCCTGAGCTACTTAGCTGCACCTACTGCATGGGGGAGGGAAACATTTTGCTTTTGTCTGACCTCCTGTTTGGACAATATAAGTGACTGCCATTTTCCATCTGCTAGGAAGACAAGACTCATCTTTCCCTTCTCCAACCCCCTATTCTGTTGTCAACAATATTCTTTTTCTCCAGGCACAGAACTCCTCTCAGGCCTATTAACTGAGTACAGACATTGGATTTAACTTCTTGGCACCGTTCTGCATGGAATAAGGGTGAAGTACTTTCATTTACAGCAATGGGTTGTGTACATACCTTACTAGCCGCCATGGAAAAGTATTTGAAGGCAGTGGCATTATTTTGTGGTGCTGCAGCATTACCGTCTAAATACATCTACCAAAAAAAAGTTGTAAAAAAAAAAAATCTAAGGAATTTAGATTTTTGTGGGTGATGAAATGTTTTATAATTACATAGAGGTGATGATAGTACAACATTGTGAATATAGTAAATGCCACTGAATCGAATTTAAAATGGTTAATTTTATGTTACTTGAATTCCGTTTCAGTTTTTAAAATAGGAAAAACTAAAGAAACAACTTATTGTATATATTCTGGAGTGACCTTGTCCAAGAAATGAATGCAATTTTTCCCTTCACATTCCCTTCTATGAAATTTATGGTTTGTAGCACTTCTGAAAGGAGTGCATTGTCCCCATGGTTACTAAAGCAAATTGGCTGCAGGGAGCCAAGGGCAGCATTGGGGGAGATGGGAAGACACTCTAGGGTGGACTTGGTGAGCCTGGAGCTGGTTGTTATCATGGGGGGTTGGGGGGGCAGGGGTTCCTGATAGGTTGAGGAATATACCAAGTCTTCATGAACAGCCATCTTGAATCTCCTGTTACATCATAGCATGGGAAACACTGAGGTCCTGGGCATGGGGCACGGACTCCTGAGTGACACCCAGCTCAGGAGCCCAGGACCAAGCCTGCTTTTCAAGCCTACTTTAGGTGACCCAGACAAAGACTGCTGTTGATAGGGTTTCTTCCCCAAATGTCATTTCAAGACTACTACCCTCAGTTTGTAGCAAAAGCTTTGGTGAAATGCTTCTATGAAAGAAGCATATAACCTGGTCATTCTACACTGGGTTCATTTTGCTGGCATCATTAATTTATTAGGTTTTTAAGTAATGAAAAATATTGACCAAGATGAAGCATATACCTTTCCTATAAATGCCATGGCATTTGCACTCCCCGCCTTTGCTGCCTTTAAGAAGTAGTATAATGCTTTCTGGAGAGAAAACAAATAGTATTATTGACAATCATGAACATATGTAACAAAATAGCTCTTCTGAAACTTTATCAGCATACCTTCAAGAAGAAAATCTGTGAAATGTCCACTGTGTTCAAGATACTGGTCCAAGTGATTTTAGACATAGACTCAAAGGTGGAGTGTGTGTGTGTGTGTATAATACATACATATATATATATATATACATACATACATATATACATATATATGTATATGTATATATATGTATACACACACATATATATATATTTACATATATATTTACATATTTACATATATATTTACTTATATTTACTTATATATATACTTACATATATATTTACATATTTACATATATATTTACTTATGCATACAGAACTGGAGTACAGGCCAGAGGTGCAGGGGTGGTGAGAGGATTCACCAGAGACAGAGTGGGGAGCACAACAGGCAGAATGAGGAGGTACATTGCTGAGGGGAACAGCGGGCGGCGAAACAGGCGAGGTCTGCTGAGCCATTTGGATAACCTCCGGGGCCGGTGATCAACTCGCACTCAAGCGGCTAAGGCTAGGAGCCAGCTTGCAGTGCTGTGCCTTAGCCCACTGTGCCACTAGGGAGGGCCCGGAATATATTTTATACACACACACACATTTATACACATAACACATATATACATACATACGTGTGTGTGTGTGTGTGTGTGTGGTTCACATATATCATTTTAAAATGTGAAGAACTGTTTCCCACATTTAGAAATAGATAATGGGCACATAACTACCTGGAGGACAGATGACTCGAACTACAGAATTAAATAAATAACCTATTTTGAAAAATGGACTTTTCTATGTAGACACTAGTATTTATTTTATAAGACAGTTTCTGCAATTCACAAAACTGGATATGTAGCCTCCTAATGTTTTTAAGGCAGAGTAAATAAGACCAGACACACACATAGATGCATGCAGAGACCAGATCTTTCTGCAGAGGTGAACTTGAGGCCAATTCTTTCCAAATCAAACTGAAGGGGACCAGTGAAAGCTCTGATTCTATGTCATATCATAAATGAAATTTTAGTCTAGAATGCACAAGTGCTAGCCTGTCCCTGTCATCTCATGCCCTAGACCTCAGCTTGACCTTCCAGACATTCTCCTCAGATGCCTTATTAAGTAATAAAAGAAATCAATTCTAATAATGAGAAATGAGGACACTCTCTAAACTGTTTTACTAAGATGCAGTACTTTTTTTTGAAAGCATGATTAGGTTGATATGCAAAGATTTGCTCATTCCCAAAAGAGTCTATTTAAGGGGGAAATGAGGGTAAATTCTTTTATATGTAAATTTTCTCTAGATACATTGCCAACTTATTTGATAACTCCATTCTTTTACTGAAGTCAGTCTGACTTATGGACATGAATATAAATGCCAACAGTGCTGAGCCCCAATCATAGTACCCATCCATTCATTCATCCATCTTTTCTGTTCTTCACTTATTCTTTCAAAATTTGATTATGTTAATTGTTACAAGTGACTCATTGATTAAAAAGAAAAACCTATTGTCCTTAAGGTGGTGGGGGTGAGGGCTAGCAAGGAAGGGAAACATACCTAATATAGAAATCGGCATTTGTAAATATAGTGGAGGCTGCACACACACACCTTAATGACTAACGATCTGTTTTCTTTAAATTAAAATGCTTACTTAACTGAGATATCTGCCCTGATGATGCCTGAATGAATGCCAGACATTAACACCATCAGAAATTAACCAGGATCAGCTGGCTGTGATGTACCAAGGTCAAGATAACTGGGAGCCTAACTAGTTCTGGGGGCTGAATGTGATGAATACCAGCAATAACAACTGGATTGGCTATTCTGGTGGTCTGTTTGCTTATGACTAACTGCCTTTGTCCAATCCATTATAAAAAGGCCAGCTAGAGATGAAATGTCAAAACAGTTTCTCCAGGGTGTTATACACACCATTCTCCCAGATCAATGACCGGTGACCTGAAAACTAAAAGCACTTACAGATTCAATTCTTATCTCTGCTTCTTGGCTTTTTGGTAGTGACAGGCAGTGCAAAGAACCTAGCCTACTCTTTTATCACCTATATCTGCTTCTTAACAAAACCTCAGTGAAAGAAATGTATGTAAATAGCACTAAGACAGTAGGTGATAGTGGCATGAGAAAACTTGGAAGAATTAAAGGGATTTAGAAATTGTAGTCAATTCTGTGAAAAACATTTTACAAACTTTTTTCTTAACTAGTCTTCACAACAGTACTATAACGAAAGCATTTACAATTGAGTCTGTCTAGTGACATACGAAAGGTATACAGGCTCAAGCAACCTGAATCCAGTTCCCATGTATTTAGCACTCAGCTTTCCTGGTACAGGGCTCACAAAAGATTGAAAGAATTCACCAGAACAGAGGGATGATAGACTGGGGAATAACATGAGCTAAGAACAGTGATGAGAATGTCCAAAGTGTATCCAGGAAATAGTAATTGATTACTTCAGTATGGATGAAGTTAAATATTCAAAGGCTAAGACTTGCAAAAATAGGAGGAAATTGTATTATAAATACCCAATTGGAATAATATAAATGTCAATTGGGTAGGAGAGAGTTTCAGCTATGGTAAAATGATAAAAGCTAATCATTTATTGGGAAATCAAATGTATGTTCAAAAGTATGATTTAACAATTACATTTATCAGAGAAGTTTTATCAAAAAAGTAAAGTTATTTCTTATAAATGTCTCTAAGAAATTAAGACTCAAGTATACCCCTAAGTTAGTATCATGGTATGCATCCATTATCTGTGAGTTTTCTGTCTTTTCCAGTGTTGAATTTCTTATACTTCCAGTGTCTTCCATACATTAGGGGACTCAGAAAATATTTCTGGAATTAATGAAAGAGTAAGAAAATAAAATGATACACTTATAGATCTACAAAATAAGTTTAAATTCTAATCTTTTTTGTCCTTTGGGGCTCTAGTATTATGGTTCTATGAAATAACTTTCAAAATTTGGTTCTGAAAGAGTTGACAATAGATAATTCGGTGGGGGGAGTTACATTGTGGGAAGCTAGAATTTAATTATTAGAAGAGAATAATTTATTCCTTAGAAGCAAATAAGAATTTTCTCCATCCTTCAATATGCTCCATACAGACCAAAATCAATATACATCTCTAATCCCCTTTCTAGACTCCTCCACTGTCTTGGCTTACTAGGAATTTCAGTAATCTTAGCCTCAATGTTGTGAAAGTAGCATGACAAGCTACTTTAATGGATATACATGAGTCAATCTGAGTTTTTGCTTTCAAAGAATTAAGATCAAATATTCATATATCCATTGATAGCAATCCATCCACACATACACAATTATCCATCCATCTATCTAGCCATTTGCTATGACCCACATATTTGTGTTCCCTTGAAATTCACACACAGAAAACTAATGCCAAAGGTGATGGTATTGAAAGGTTATGACTTTGGGAGGTGATTGCCGGAGCCCTCATGAATAGAAGTAGTGTCTTTATAAAAGAGACCAAAAGAGCTAGCTAGCCCCTTCTTCTATATGAGGATTCAACCAGAAATATAAAAACTGGAAGATGGGCCCTCCCTGGTGGCGCAGCGGGTTAAAGCACTGCGCTGAGAAGCTAAAGCCACCTCCTCATGAGTTCGATTCCCGCCTGCCCCGGAGGTGACCACATGGCGTGGCAGACCTCTCCTGACCCGCCCACTGCTCCCCTCAGCAGTGTACTTCGTCGATCTGCCTGTTCTGCTCCCACTCTGTCTCTGGTGAAGCCTCTCACCGCCCCTCTGGCCTGCACCCCAGTTCTGTATGTACAAATAAAATAAATCTTAAAAAAAAAAAAAAACAAAACTGGAAGATGGTCCTGACCTAACCAGGCTGGCACCCTGATTTCAGACTTCCAGCATCCAGAAATACGAGGAATTTCTATTGCTTATAAGCTACCCAGTATATAGTATTTTTGTGATAGCAGCTTAAACAGATTAAGACATCTTTCATCCCTTGTACAAATATTTACTGAGTACCTACCATCATATTTTACTAATTCTAAATGTACATTTCACCATCTCCCATTCTAATCAGAACATTTCTTACCATCATATAATTTATACTGGTTGTATTTTTTCTTTCTCACTATAACATAAAATAATGTCCCTTAAAATTGATGGTGTCTTAGATAGATAAATATACTATGTCCCAAATATTATGCAAAGTGAGTTTTATTATTTGAATACAAACTTTTTTTTAAAGAGCATGATTTCTCACTGATTCTAAGAAAATCCTTAGTTTAATCAATTTATAACAGTTCTCCTAGAATGAGATGCCAAGAAATTGCATTATTTTAACATATTTATGAGCACTTCTTTTATCCCAGGTTCTGTAAATCATCCTGAAAAGGAATTATATTAGTTCTTTTATTTTTAAAACATAGCAGAGTAGACAAAGTATTTGCCCTTACATATTTGATAGTATTCCTCCACTAGGTTTAATTAAATTGTGCCTTATCCATTTTAATAATATGCCAGAAAACACCCAGTTTTCTTAATTCAGTTCATTCTGAGCCTTTATATTTTTAGAAATGCAAAGTGACACTTAACTATACATACAGAAATTAAGGATCATATAATCAGGAATTGCATATGTAATACTTTTTAATAAGTAAAAATTTGGTGAAAAGAGAAGGAGTTGAAAATGTTGCCTGTGGTGAAAACTCATGGGAGAGATTAATTCACTAAAGAGAGAAAAAAAAAGAAGCCAAGATAGTTATTTCCAAGTATTTTGATAATTAATGCTGGGCAATAAATGGGGAATCACATTTATAGAGACTACCCAAGTAATTTTCCTTGGTGGAATAAGGCATTAGTGTAGTAACTCAAATGGTAGTCCTTAGGCAATGTATATGTGCAGTTAATATCATTGATCAGTACCTAGTGTATCCCAGGTACTAATCTGAGTAGTGAGCAAGATAGATACAAACTTAACATTTTTGGGGGGAATGCAGACAGTAAGCAATATGTTATATTGTGCTGGAGTGATTCCACTTAGAGAAAATAAACAGCATAAAAAGGATGACAGTAGAGGGCCCTTCCTGGTGGCGCAGTGGGTTCAAGCACTTCACTAAGAAGCTTAAGCCACTTCCGCATGAGTTCAATACCCGCCTGCACCAGAGGTGATCCACAGGGCGTGGCAGACCTCTCCTGACCAGCCCGGCTGCTCCCCTCAGCAGTGTACTTCGTCCATCTGCCTGTTCTGCTCCCCACTCTGTCTCTGGTGAATCCTCACACCCTCCGCATCTCTGGCCTGTACCCCAGTTCTGTATGAATAAATAAATCTTTAAAAAAAAAAAAAAAAGGATGAGAGTAGAGCAGACAAGAAAATCCTCTCTGAGAAGGTCAAACTTGAAGGATGAGAAGCTACCCATAGAAACAGCTATCGTGTAACAGTCTTTCAGAAATTGGGTTTATCCTTTTATCTTTCTTCTTGTTTGCATCTCCTTGTCACTCCAAGTTGATTCTGGCACAGCTAGGTGTGGTAAGTTACAAAATGAACACACACTTTGCAGTCCTTTTTCCCTACCTCTTTAAAGCTGGCAACTTCATTACGTATTTTAACCAAAAAAAATGTGGCAATAGTGATTTGTGAGTTTTGACCCTAGGCCTCATGAATAGTAGTTTTCTGGTATTCTTAGAATCTTTGAGAGACACATGAAATTTTTGATATGACTGGCTAGAGGATGAGGACATGTGGTGAGACCCAGCTGTCCTAGTTGTCACGGATTAGGCTACTGTAAACCAGTCAGCTCTTGTCAATATTACTTACTAACTACAGATGCATTTGCAAACCGTGAAGGTCAAGATTAACTTGATCAAGAGCAGATGAATTATTTAGCTGAACCCAGTCCAAAATGCTGACCTGCTAAAATCATGAATTAAAAAAATAGCTGTTTTAAGCCATCAAATTCTGGGAGTATTTTTGGTGCAACCTAAACTAACTGATACATAAGCTAATCAATCTTCAAATTTGAGATCTTGACTGGAACCCTCCATGCAAGTCCTAGGTTGTCAGGCCAAGTAAAGCAGAACTGACCACCCTGAGCTTGCTCCTTGTGCTTGAAATACTGGGACAGTTCAGAAATTAAATCAGCCTTTTTGGATGCCTGGATGGAAAGCCTGGTGCTCAACTTACCAGCAGAAAATTACAGCAGAAGCAGTCCTACTTGTTTTATAATTGAGGTATATTATATTATGTCAGTCCTTCTTGTTTTATAAATGAGGAAACTACATTTTAGAAGTTGTATTTTCTTTTTGATCCAAGTCAAAAGCAAATAAGGTTTAATGGAAAGAACACAGGTTTTGAATGCTGAAACCCTGTGTTTAAATTCTGCTTCTTAAAAACCTTATTGCATCACTAGTCCAACAGGTACATGAAAAAAAATCAATATCACTAGTTATCAAGGAAATACAATCCAAAATAAGATATCACTCCAGTAATAATGTCCCACATTAAAATATATATATATATGTATACACACACACACACACATATATATGTGTGTGTATATATATGAAACAAGTGCTGGAGAGGCTGTGGAGATAAAGGATCCCTCTTACACTGCTGGTGGGAATGTAACCTGGTCTAGCCAGTACAGAAAACTATGATTCCTCAGACCATTAAAATGGATCTGCCATATGACCCAGTGATTCTACTCCTAGGGATCTACCCAAAGGACACAAAACACTAATTTGAAAAGAAACCTGAGCTACTATGTTTATTCCAGCACTATTTACAATAGCCAAGATATGCCTCCAAACAGATAAATGGATCAAAAAGTTGTGGCTTATTTATACAATGGAGTATTACTCAGTGATCAAAAAAGACAAACTCATGCTATTTGTGGTAACATGGATGGAGCTGGAGTGAATTAGTCAGTTAATAAGATAAATACGATGGCAACACTTGTATATGGAATATAGAGAAACTAAACTAAAGGCCCAGAAAAGTCTAAACTAACAAGCTGACCATTGAAATAAGCCATACAGCACAGGAAGGAGAGGGACAGGGAGCAAAACAGGGAAGGGCTAAACACAAGGGACGGTGGTGATGGCTCACAGGTGGTATGTTGGGAGGAGAACTATGGGGACTAAATGATATAAGAAAGAAATTTAATTAAAAAGACTTTTTTTTAAAATATAGCTTTTTCATAGCTATAGGACATGAAGAAAATTAATTCATCTCTCAACCTCAGCTCCTCATTTATAAAACAGAGATAATGAAACCTCTGTGAATGAGTTCATAGGAGACCCCGACTCAAGACCAAATGATAAGTCGTTGCTAATATAACACCAGAGTCTTTCAGTGGTGGCACTGGGATTGCATTTATCTTTACCTGGAGGCAATTACAGCTCCCATCATGTATCCACAGTACATTAGTCCCGTGTACTACTGACCAGTAGTATTTAAGTCTGTGGGGTTATATGTACACTACAAAGATTACTGGATATTCCTGATCACTGAATTTTGGGAGCCTTCACAATAAAATTTATAGAAATGGGAAATACATCTCAGTTACACTTCCTATGACTGATACGAATGGTCTACCACAGGCTGAATCTGACATATGATAAACATACACAATTTATTATGAAGCTAATATCTTAGTTTTGATGAGGATAGGAAAAAACCTGAAGACCTTCAATCGATCTGTTGGGAAGCTTATGCTTATTTTATCAAATTTTATTAACTTTGTTAAGTTTGATGTTTACTTTACCTCATGTAAAACACAAATTACAGTTCCAAAGACATATTTATATAATAACAATAGGAATGGACACAGAAAGTAGTAATACATTACTCTTTTATATAGCCACCTTATAAAGCAGTTATTTTTATTGTTTAAACATCAGGACTATGTTGAAGTAAGGTTTGAGGTAGGGTTTGAGAAAAATAAAAAATAGTTCCTATAACATGACAAGAGTTGCAAAATCACTTCTTAAAAAGTTGTCAGTTACCTCCCCAGATATCTTGAAGACATGAGGTTTTGAAGACACATTCAGATTTAGACAAGACCATAGCCAGATGTTCTAGCATCTTACTGAGGAGGATCCTGTGTAGGTCAAATTTATTTGCATTTTTCTTCACTATAAATTTGAATTGTTAATTTATCTTCTAACCACACTGGGATAAAGTAAGTTAAGCAAAGTGATTGAAAGGAGTTTTGCAAATTTATGAAGATGCTTAATCATATTTCTAATTATATTGAAAGCAGCCTACCTTCTGATTTAGCCCAAATGGGCTAAGGCTAAGGCTAGTGTTCACATTTCCTAGCAGGAAACTCCCAGAAGGGTTTTCCAAAGTTGACCTTTGGAGAATGGTTAGGTCCAAGGCCATCAGGCCGGGGTATATTTCTCATCTAATTTCACTCGAACAGTAAGGTGGAGTGGGAAAGTCTTGGTTAAATAGGACCATTGAAACTTCCCTACAACAACTGTTCCTTCAAAATTCCCTCCTTTGTATTTTGCTGCAGGTGGGAAAAGTGCTCCATATGATGAACTTTTTTCGTTCTCAGAAACTAGGTAGTAGATCTAATTTAGGAGGCAGCGGTGAGCTTCCTCCAGCAACTCTTCCACAAACATTATTCCTTTTATATTTTCCCCAGCCTCTCTTCACCATTTTTCTCTGCACCCCACATGAACAAATCTTGATTGACTTACATAGTAATCTTGATCAAGGCCTTTCCTCCCAATTAGATGTAATTGTCCAAGAGATACCTACAAATGATTAGTTTTGAAAATTAGTATTAGTAGTATTGACTTAAATTAGTAGTATTTAATTTGTGATTGCCTAGACTAGTAAGACCCTGGACCTGTGCTGGGGAAGGTGTCAGAGAAGCCAGAGTCCTTGTGACCTCTAGAGAGACTCTACCAGCAACTGCCCAGACAGGTGAGACCCTTAACCAGTGAAGGGGGAGGTCCCATGGCTACAGCAGCCCCACAGCAAACACTTCATGACTTAAGCTTTAGTGTTGGGTGCCATCCCAACAGCAAGGTAAACAAAAGTAAACATAAACAAATGGGACTACATCAAACTATAAGAGCTTCTGTACAGCAAAAAGAAACCATAACTAAAAAGAAAATACACCCTACTGAATAGAAGAAAGTATTTGTACACCATACATCTGAAAAAGGATGCATATAAAGAACTCAAAAAACTACAAAAACAAAAAGAAAAATCAAAAAGTGGGTAGGAGAACTAAACAAATACTTCGCCAATGGTCCGTATTGAAAAGACCTGACCCAGTAAGTGCTGTGGAGAAAATGGAACACTCCTACAGTGCTGGTGGGAATGCAAACTGGTCTAGCCCCTATGGAGAGCCTAATGGAGGTGTCTCAAAATGATAAAATTTATCTTCCCTTTGACCCAGGAATTCTACTTCTAAGCATGTCAAAAACAACAACAACAACAACAAAAAAAAAACCTGGAAAAAAACTTATTTGAAAGGAATCTTCCACTCCCATATTTTTTGTAATGCTATTTCCTATAGGTAAATTAAGAAAACAGCATAAGTGCTCCGAACAGATGAGTGGGTCAAGAAGATTCTGTGTATATATGTACAATGCAATATTATTCCTCAATAATCAGAAAAAATACACTCATGCCGTTTATATCAACATGTATGGAGCTTGAAGGGATAATGCTAAGTGAAATAAGTGAAAGAAAGACAAATATTGAATGGTATCACTAATATGTGGAATATAGAGAACTAAACTGATGTCAAATACAGACAGCTTCAAAACTAATCCTTTGGGCCCTCGTTGGTGGCACAACAGTTTAAAGCTCAGCAATCAGCAGCCACTGCAGCAGGAGCTTGATCCCAGGCCAGGGAGGGGACTCACATGGCACAGCAGACCTCTCCAGTCTCTCCTGCTGCTCCCCTCAGTAGTGTACTTCAGTCAATCCACCTGTTCTGTTCCCCATTCTGTCTTTGGTGAACCATACTCCCCTGCATCTCTGGCCTGTTCCCCAGAAATGTGACAGCAAGGGAGGAAGGGCTTGGGGGAGGGGTAAGAACAAAGAAGAAAGGAAGTGCACCTGGCTACAGTGATGGAGTATGGGTGATTTAGTGGCGGGTACACTACCGTGGTATTACCTGATAGGGGTCTCAAAATATCCTTGTTAAAAACAAATCAATTGATTAAAAAAGAAAGAAGAAGAAAACTTTACTTGGTGATTCTAATATAGTATGTTGATCCAGTTTTATGTGGTTGGCATCTCTTAAAAAAGTAGAAAGATGTTCCAGACTTATCTTTCAATGGGTAATTGGTTGATTCTGGACTTCTGAATAGCAGGAAAATGGCCTGCTGGTGTACAGGATCATCTGGGCAGGTAAACCCCAGGGCTTACCTCTTGGCTCTCAAAGGTCATACAAAGGTCTCATTCATATTCTCAAAAAGAGAATATTTCTGGAACCTGGTTAGAACTCATTCATATTAAAGCTAACATTGGATGTTACATTTTTTCTATAATTAAAATATAAGTTTCTTAAAATGAAATTTTAAGTAGTAAATGCAAAAATAATTCACCATTACTATGGCAACTGCCTTTCCCAAAGGCCACAAGAATTGCAAATGCATGAAACAAACAACAAAAAAGAGTAGCACAGAGAGGAGGGAGTTGTCTCTTCCCTTTATCATTCAAGATGGGGCATTGTTAGCCCTTCTGGAACTCAGAACCAAATCCCTTATAATTTGCATGCTTTACACATTTAAATTTGTCTCTATACATACTTGTATCTGAACATCTCCTCTTTCTGCCAAAAATTTATAGTATTGGTATATATCCCAATCCAAAATTTCATTGTTGGAACTCAGATTTTCAGGTCTTTCAGTTAGTCTCACTTTTTCCACTGGAATACCTTCACTTTTTTCTAATTTGTCAGCAACTGTGAAGAGAAACAAGCCATAGAATAGTCCGAATGTACAAGAATGCACGAGCTAACAATCATGTAGACAATGGACTGTTAGACCTATTTTCCTTCAGTTGTGCAGAAATCTGTCTATCTGTTACAGGGCAGGGAGAGGGGTAGCACTGAACCCCCAAACCTGCCTGCTCTAAGTGGGTTCTTCAGATCTCCTTCTGGCTCTCCATCCTGCTTCCTTCTTTGTCCTCTTTTTTTTTTCTCCGCTCTACCCAGCTTCTGGGTGGGGCAGGGAACCTGGAACTTCCCCTTTTCCTAGGAACCACCCTGTTACACTACCAAGAAAGGAAATATCCTTTGGTATCAGAATTTGCTGATTTTTGTTTATTTGGTTCTGAGAAATGAAAGAAATCAAATTATTTGCAATCTGTGTAAGTGTTGTATGAACATACATCAGACCCTTCTGGAGATTTTGATCAAGCAAGCTCAAAAAAGAGACAGCCTGTAGGAGCAGGCAACTGGCCTCCTCCTGTGCCACTGACTTTTTTCAGGAATGAAACTACTATATGAGTAAAACTGCTCCTTAATTACTTCCTACAGATAGACTAAAAATAAATATAAGGATAAATATACTTGAATAAACCTAATACAGTGTGCAATTTGAACTACATACTAATTCCAGTTTCATTATGCATAAGAAATGATCTTGTTATATATATATAAGGTATATATATATATATATCTTAAATTCAAAAGATTTTCCCCCTCATTTTTCTCTTATATTCTAATACCAAAGGTAGGTATTTTATTGTTAATTTTGATTATAAAAATAACTGAATAAACTTTATTCACTTACTGAAAAATTTTTATTTAAAGCTCTAGTTCAGTGTTTTTTTTTTTTTTTTTAGATTTTTTTTTTTTAAGATTTATTTATTCGTACAGAACTGGGGTACAGGCCAGAGATGTGGAGGGTGAGAGGATTCACCAGAGACAGAGTGGGGAGCAGAACAGGCAGATCGACGAAGTACACTGCTGAGGGGAGCAGCGGCGGGTCAGGAGAGGTCTGCTTCGCCATGTGGTCACCTCCGGGGCAAGCGGGGATTGAACTCATGAGGAAGTGGCTTAAGCTTCTTTGTGCTGTGCTTTAACCCGCTGCGCCACCAGGGAGGGCCCAGTTCAGTGTTTTTATAAGAGGAAATGTTACAGACAACTTTGAAAATAATCCTAGGAACATATAATAATCTCATGCTCTTTTTTTTTTTTTTTTTGTAGACAAAGGATATGTTAACAGAATGATTTCTTGAACTGTTCTCAAGAGCAGTGATAGAGACAACATATGTATTTTCCACTGCTTTAGAGCTTTTAAACAAGTAAGCCCATATTCTGAATATTAATAATTAAGACTAGGGAAACTGGCCCTCCCTGGTGGTGCAAGGAATAAAGTAAGGACGCAGCACTGCAAGTGAGCTGCCGCCAGTGTGAGTTCGATCCACGCCGCCGATGTGACCCACAAAGCGCAGCAGACCTCTCCTGACCTGTCCTCTGCTCCCCTCAGTAGTGTACTTCGTTGATCTGCCTGTTCTGCTCCTCTCTCTATCTCTGGTGAGTCTTCTCACCACCTCTGCACCTCTGGCTTGTACCCTAGTTCTGTATGCACAAATTAATAAATCTTTAAAAAAAAAAAATTAGGGAAACTGTTGAACATTTATTGATGCTAAATTCAGTTTTTCAGTGTAAGAAAAGAACATCACATGAACAAGTAATACAGAATTGTTTGGGAAAATATAACAACAAAAATTAAGAATGATTACAATCATTTAGAACTTTTAGAAAAACAACTACTAAGAAACCAGAAACTATATTATAATAAAAGATTTGTATTATAACAGATATTAAAGCATAGTCTTTTAATACTTTCATACATATGTCAAATGGCATTATTTTTATATATTTTTAAAGATTTATTTACTTACACATACATAACTGGGGTACAAGTGAGAGGTGCAGGGGCAGTGAGAGGATTCACCAGAGACAGAGCGGGGAGCAGAACAGGCAGATCAACTAAGTACACTGCTAAGGGGAGCAGAGGGTGAGACCTTACACCATGTGGGTCACCTCCCTGGCAGGGGATTGAGCTAGTGCTGCAGTGGCTGTGGACAGCTTCACAGTGCTGTGTCTTAACCCATTTGCTGATTGATTTTTCAGGTCTTTCAGTTAGTCTCACCACCAGGGAGGTCACCACATTATTTATATTTTTAATTGCTTGGCAAGTCTATTTATCTTAAATTATGAGCATTACTTACTATAATCTGCCACTGTTTTGTAATGATTTAGGGCAGCTTCACAATTCTGTAGAACATTGATCCCTGACAAATATCTGTACCCCTAAAACACAGGAATACATATTATTAATATCTGACAATGCTGTATTTATAACAGACCTGCTTGGGTCCAGGAGTATTTAATTTACAAACCAAAATCATCTGGGATATCATGCTTCCCCCTGCACTTCCAAAGGTGTAATATATCAGTGCCTAAAGTAGAAAAGAAATTATATTGGTCATCTACATTTGAAACTCAAATGAATCACTGCTTTTTAGTCCCTAGTTGGACAATGAACCTTAAACTACTCCAAGACAAATTCCAAATTTTATTCTTTTTCTCTGTAAAGCTCCATCTGAGAGAAGGATTAGTAGCTCTGGAGGCTATGAAAAGGGCATTTTAGATGATATTTCATTTAATCATGCTATCCCTTTGAGGTCGATATTTTCTTTCTATAGTGAAGAACCAGAAATGATATATTAAGGAATATATGATATTTTAACTCTAAACATCTCTAGTTATTGAGCTATTGTGCTAAACCACCACACTGAAGCGAGCCCCTTTACCTGAAGACTAAATTCTCTACTCAATGTTCCTTTTTAATAATTTACTTTTGTTCTAGAAAAAAAAAAAAGAATGGCTTTACCTTTGCTTGATTATATTCCATTCCTATTCCATAAGAAGACAAAAATCCTAATGCCTAAAGAAAAAGAAACAATAAGTCCATTTGTCTCACAGTTATTCTATGTACATTGGTAAGGGGTGTTAAATTAATTAATTAGTTATCTCAGCCAGTTTGCCTCCTTTAAAAATTATTTTAATTTTTTTGGTTTTATTTAACTACAATTGCACTATAACATGTATGCATTATTGCACTGTAATATTAGTGTATGAATCATTGAAATTCAAGATGTGTATACATGACACTAAGTTTACAACCAAAGTTCCCTATACAGTTAACCTCTTTTCCTTGACTTACCCCTTTTTCCCTTTTCATGCTGGCAATCACTAATCTGGTCTTATCATCTAAAAGTTTGTTTCTGGTTTATTTAATTCATTTGCTTGTGAGGTTATTTGCTACCACATGTGTCTACCACCGACAAGTGAATCAAGAAGCTATAGTATATACATATAATGGAATACTACTCAGCAATCACATAAGGTAAACTCAAGCCACTTATGCTAACATGGATAGAACTTGAAGAAATTATCCTAAATGAAGTGAATCAAAAAGACAAAGATAAATACTGGATGGTTTCACTTACATGTGGAATAGAGAGAAATCAAACAAAGGATCAGACAAATACATACTTTAAAGGACCCTTGAAAACTGACCATAGGTCTAAGGCATCCAAGAAGCAGGAAGGGAAAAAAAGAGGAGATGGAAGAGAACAGGGGGAAGGAGAGCACGATGGCTTATGGTGGAGAACTATGGATGCTTTGGTGGTGGGAAAACTATGGTCACCACTTCTGAAGGGAGAAAATCTATACTGTGAGCAAAGAAACAGGGATGCAAAATAACAGTATGTGATTAACTGAAATTTTTTCTGCTCCTGAGTGAGTGAAATAAGCCAGTCACCAAAAGACAAATTCTTCATGAATACATTTACATGAGATCTATACAGTAATCAAATTTTTTAAAACAAAAAAAAATAGAATGTTGCTAGGGGGAAGATAATGGAAGAATAGGGTTGTTCAATGGGTAGAGTTTTAGATTTGCAAGCTAAAATTCTAAAGAATTGTTGCACAACAAAGTATACATAGCTCACAAAAAATGTATATATTTACCTTTTTATGGAACCAAAGACTGACATAGGATGAAAATAATCTAAAACAGCACTTTTAAAAAATAAAATGAAAATTCTAAATAATAGGGAAACACATATTTTGATAGTACCTATATAACAAAATTATATAACCAGCATTTTAAAAATTTATAACTTAGAATTGGCAATGGCTTACAATGGATTAAATATGAGACTATCATCTCTATCACATTTTTTAAAAGATTTTTTAGTCTAGCAATCCTGTACATGAAATTGTTTAATATAAGTTGTTCTTAGTGAATGCGTACTGCTTGACAAATGTTTAATTTTATGAGATATCCATAAACAAAACATTTTGAAAATATACTCACCAGCACTATGTGATTCTCAGAATTGACAGCCTCCAGGCCTTGTGGGTATTTTTCTGTCCTTACATTTATAAATTCTCTCAGTTCCCAGGGATAGAACTAGACTAGGTCAAGCGATATGAATTCATGGTAAACAGATTTTTGTAGTATTCTCTTTCAGGTGATTTTGAGAAAAGTATATTCTGACCTAGTTCTAAATACAAAAATCCTTCATCCAGTTACTGTGACTCTATGACCAGTTACCCTGAAACTTAGTGTCTTTTAAAAAAATACATTTTTGATGCAAAGTGTTCTGTGGGTCAGGAATTTGACCATTGAGAGTGGGGACAGCTATCTCTCCCCAATGATAAGAGGGTCTTCATTGGGGAAGACTCAGAGGGTGGGGACTTCATTTATCTGGAGGTTGGTTCATTCACATCACAGATGAGGTTAGTTATCGGTTGTGACTAATGGCCAGAAAACCTACACATGTCTCTTCTGTTGTCTGAGCTTCCTCACAGCTTTGTGACTGAGTTCCAAGAAATGAACATCTTGAGAGATAGAGAGTAGTAGGCCCACTTGTATTGCTTTTATGACTTAACCTTGGAAGTAATATAGCATTATTTTACTTATAGCAAAATTTACTTAAATAGTCAAGAACCCATCTATTGTAGGTAATAGGGGAATGGAAATTGACTTAATTTTTTGATGAGGTTGTTTAAGATAATGAAATAGCATGCAAGTCTAAATATATAGCTGTGTACATTTTTAGGAAAAAAATAATAGCAAATAAATGCTCAATAAAAAACAGAAGAGTGTGGAGATACTCTGTTTTCTTTTTAGGGATACTCTTGATTCCATAGATTTTTTTCTTTTATTACAGAATATTTCAAATATATAAAAATGAATAGAGTAATTTAATGAAGCCCATGGTACTTAGGAAAGATCCCCTCCAAGCTGTAGCTTAAAAACTTTGTTAAAAAGGTGAAACTAAGCAAAAATTAAATATTTTTGTTTTCCCCTTTCCCCACCACTCCCACCCCTGTCCCCACCCTTGTAATTTATTCTCCAACTGTAGTCCCCAGAACCTTGTGAACCAGTAATATTCTGTTTCTACCAAGATTCTCTGTGCCAGTCTGAAGTTGGTAAGACCAGAGCACTCATTTGCTGGTCTTTATGGGTTTTTGACCTCAATAGATCGCTGCTGAAGAGGTTGAGTGAAGTCTACACTCCTTTCATGTCCCTTAACAAGCTTACATTCCTCTCCCCCTCCATTTATTTTCTTTATTATTTTAATTTTGGCGGAGACAGAACTGCTGTACTGGGAGGGGCAAGCCCTGCACCATGTGTGACTTGGGCAGATTCCAAGCCCACAAGACAGAGCACAAGGGGTGAACCTTGTCCTAGGAAAACCATGTTCATGATCATAGGAGTTCCCTCACCAGGAAATTATGGAAAAGAATAGATTCTTAAAGTTTTTATTATAACTTCAAGAACCAAAATAGCGTATTACTTTTAAACTTGAGTTTAGTTCCCCAAAGCAAAATACTCTACTTTCTGGAATTAATTTATAAACTAAATTTTATAAATTAAAATATATAAATTTTGGAGGGGGTGGAAACCCCCCCCCCCATAATTCTGTCTATTCCTCTTTAATGTTAAGGCTTCCTTTTGAGAAGTTGATCATATTCATTGATGTTACAAACAGAAGACTTCTGGAATCATGGTACTCCTCTAACAGTGGCAGTTTATATTTAAAATGGCTGAATTGTCTCCTTTTAAGGATGTCTCTAACTAATGTTAGATTTTTATTTTTCTTGTGACTCTGGGCAATTTTTGACTCTGCTTAGTTTAGAATCTGTTTTATTTACATAGAAACATTGGCAGAAAATATATCGACCTTTCTATAAAGAGATGAAAATGTTGTTCAGTTTAGTGAGCTTCTATTTTTTTTTTTTTAAAAAAAGAAGCTTTCACCAAATTGTACCATTTTATTTTATGCAGAGCCTAACAAAGTTCAAGCCTTTTTGGCTTGAACCTCCTGAAGAAATTTGTGAGGTCATGAATTTCTGCAGTGGATTGTGTGGGAGCTAAGTTACCATCCCGTGACTGGGAATGAGTGTTTTTTTTCTGTATAGAGCACATTTAGAAAGTGAAAACTAAAACCTTGATTTAATCAGTCTCAAACAACCAGCCCCAAGCCTTCTGCATCTGTTTAGCAGAAAAATATCAATGGTAATTTTGAATTCTTTGAAGGACTCAACCTTCTTCTTTTTCTTTTTTATTCTGCTTTCAAATATTTCAGGCTCTAAAGTAAACCAAAAAATGTTATGAGCTGTACTATGTAGATTATAGTTAATGCTATCTTACTTCTTTACAATAAACAGTTTTTAGTATTTGATTTTTTTTAATGAGGTAAGACTGAAATGAAATAAGGTGGATTAGAGAATGATTAAATAATAATCCAGAAAAAATGCTATATGTCAAAAGATAAGCTAGCTAACAGTGAAATGACATCAATGGCCTTGTCAGTAGTTTTTAGAAGTTAAACTGCACATTAGACTTGTTTATAAGACTTGATTCTGAATTAACCATTGTGCTATGGTTTTTAAGGAATTGTTATATTAAGTGGGATTTGAATGGAAAGAGTTAAGTATAGAAAGTATTATATTAAATGTCAAAGCAAATTATTCCAAATTCATAATAATAATAATTTTAAAATTATTCCTCCTTTTTTTACTTTTTATGTAAGAAAGTATTAAAAGAGAAAAAGATTAAGCAATTTTCCCTTGATTATTGTATGAAGACTGAAAGCATCTGAGATCATTATTTTAGTTCATGTTGCATACAAAGTGTGAATCAGCCCTAGTGAACAAGTCAGATACAGTCCCTATGTATAATACAAAGAGAGCATTAATGTTAAGCTGAAATGCTCCACACAGGTAATCCTAGAATTATCATAGTGATTGTTTAATTGATCCAAAAAAGTGATTTTTTTCAATATTAGCACAGTACTAGGCTATAACCCCTGTATAAAACATTTCTATAATTCAAATCTTAATAAATAAAGGATAGAGTCACTGCCAATGAGAAAGAATTATTCTAGAATCACAGGCACGCTAAAGCTGCATGTACTCATGTCCTTCTTTATATATCAGTTAGCTATTTTCACATAAATAATGAATTTTCTTATAATACATGGTAAATTATTTTGAACCATTTAATCAAGAAGATTAAATACATGCATTTAAGTTAAATATTTTCATTCTGATATCAAAAGTACTACATAACCATGAATAGAAAATTTAGACAAAAAGCTTAGAAAAGTATTTTAAAAGGAAAATAGTTACAATTAATAACACCACATAAAGATTAATAAATTAAATTAAGTTTTAGTTTGATACAATATGGATGGATCTATTTCTTGAAACTGAAAACTAATGAGATTTAACCTTATTTTCTTATTTGGCAAATTAACAGATAATGTTCCTATTGAAAGAGTTTAATGATATCAAGAAAAGAGTACTTTTTACCATGAATGAATGTTTTTTGAACAATATTCAGAGAATAGCACAATATCCATAGGACTTAGTCTTGGGTATAACTTTTTTTATTACTATCTCCTCAATTTCTACCATTGTCATAAAGATTGCTCCATTATTGTTCTTTTTTTTATTTAAAAGGGACATATTCTCTGAAGATAAATTCTGTTCATAACCTTAATTAAATTTTTGCTCTCTGCAGCATTTCCTTCAGTTTATTTGGATTTTTGTAAAATGAACCTTCAATGTGCATGAAAAGAAAGAATTATGTCTCTTTCATTCCATCCAGCTTCCCTTTATACATAGCCTGAAATTACATTTCTTTCCCCAACGCTCCATTCTACTTTACAATTGGAATTCATATTCTTTTTGTTTTTCTTGATAATTCAGGTTGCCACAAGAAATGACAGCCTTTACTTCTCCCACTTATTACATTTCAATATTTTAATTATACTTCCTTCCCCTCAGATATAATCTTTGTTTTCTTCTTCTATCTGTGTCCCTCTCATTCTTTTTCATTATTATTATTATTATATGACATTTAGCTTCCATAATGATATTTCCGTTACTACATTGTCCTCACAACTTCCAGCAACATTTATACCCATACAAGCAGGATTTGTATAACAGGTTGGCACAAATAGTGTGAGAAGAGGGCTAATCACCTTGGCCAACATTACTACACAACTCAGATCAACATGGTATGGATAGCCTGGTGTGGCTACAGCAACCAGTATTTAACTATGCATTTTATATAGCATAGAATTGTTTCAGCTGCTTTTTTGTACAAGGGGGAAAAGTTATGTTAAGTACCTATGTAATAAGCAAGTCACAGAATGAATTCCAACTTAGATCTTGGAAGTCTAGACTCAAAATTCTTTCCTGTAGTTTTAGTTCTTCTTTCCCAATTTGGATTCATGTTATATCTTTCTCTTGCCTAATTGCTCTGTTTAGAACTTTTAATACAGTGTGGAATTGTAGTGTTGGAGATCTTTTCACTTTAGCATGTTGAAAATATCTTATCATTGCCTTCTGGTCCATATAGTTTCTGCTGACAAACCTCACGATAGTATTCTATAGGTTCCCTTATATGTACATCCTTATTTTTTTCTAACTTCTTTAAGGCTTCTCTTTTTATCTCTAGTTATTTTCATTTTAATTATAATGTGTCTAAGTGTACACCTGTTTGGGTTTACTTTGTTTGGAACTCTCTGAGTTAACCAGACATGGAAGTCTTTTTCCTTCCTGGCTTGGGCAAGGTCTTAACCATTATTTTTTCAAACAGGATTTCTGTAAACAGGATTTCTGTCCCCTTTTTCTCTGCTCTGGAACTCCTGTGATGTGCATGTTGTTCCTCTTGCTGTTGCCCCTTAAGTCTCTTATATTGTGCTCATTTTTCTTAAATCTTTTTTCTTTTTGCTGGTCTTTTTAGATTACTTCAGTATCCTATCTTTCTTTCATCTGTTCATTCATTCCCTTGCCTTATTGAGTCTTTGGTGAGGTCCTCTGTTGCTGTTTTTAAATTTCAACTATTGCATTCCTTATGTCTGGATTGCTGTTTGGAACTTTTTCATATTTTCTCCTTGTGTTTTTGTTTTGTCTACTGTCCTAATTTCAATAATAATGTTGCTATAATGTCTTATTCTGGTCATTTAATTCTGTGGCATTGGGGGATTTTCCCTAGGGTTTTGTCATGATCCATTGATTGGGGTGATTATTTGATACTCTGCGATTATTTATAGATTAAGCTAGATTGCTTTCCTTCCCAGTCATCCTCTGACAGTGTTACTCTAGAATGGCAAATCTAGGGTGTTAATCTTAGACACTGCTTTTTGTTGCTGTATCAGTAGACGCTATGTCACCAATCAGGAGTTGACTGGACCTCAAAAGCCAGTATGGCGTAGTGGCCCAACGACCCTAACTACGGGGCAAAAACCAAATATGTTGGGGGTGGAGGATGGAGGTTGCTGCAATAGATTTCTAAGGGCAAAAACTTATCTTGATTCTGCTATAGCCACTTGAACTGAGGTAGGGATCTTTAATCATCATCTGGTCAAGGCGGATAAATACCAGTGCTTTCCCAGAAGCCCCAAATGGCAATTGACCCTTCTGTTCTGATCTAGCAGGTTTTGCTGGCAGTACATTTCCACTGAGATTCTGATTCAAGCGATATAGCAGGAGACTGTGTTTGGGCCACAGGCAGGTACCATGAGAAGTTACAGATTGCAAGTAGTTAGGCTGTCCATATGCCTGACAAGTGCAGACAGGGTGGGGGCTGGCACTTCCTGGGGCCTCCACACTAGATGAGAGCAGCTGCAAGTGATGTCAGCCCAGTGCCCACCCAGCAATCTGTGATCTCTCTGGGAGGCCTGCACTTTCACTGCTGCAGTATGCTAGGAGCCTCTGATTGCTCTGAAATTCCAGGCAGAGGAAAAGTATCCTGCAGAACTGCCTAGTTAACAGCCAGCAGTCTCAGGTGCATCTGCCTACCAGTCAGGTGGTACTATGGTAGGTGGTGCTGAACTGGCTATGATGTGTTGTTTAGAAAGGTCTTGGGAGTGTGGGCAAGGAAGAAGTGGGTGTCTTAGAACCATCACGTTATCTGCCTACAACTCCAGGTATCTTAATTCCAGGTCTATCAAGCAGTCATGGTCTTTTAGGATGTAGGGAACTCCCAGGAGTTCAGGCACAAGAGGATATGGTGCCTTTCCAGATGCCAAGATAGGTCACAGTGGCCCCAGATAGCTCAACCCCATGCTGACCCATCAGTGAGTCTTCGTTAAAGTAGGCAGTGTTCTTCCAGCTGTAGTGGATTAGCAGCTGAAGGAAAATAGGGCAGGTTGGAAATAGATGGTGGAAATTGAAGGTTACTATGCTAGGAACAAGCTTCCCTGTTTTTCCTAGGGAAGGGGGAAGGGCTTTGAAAATTCTCAGGGATTTCAAATCCAATCACTGGCATCAATTTCAACAGGGCCACCCCTATTCCTTATGTGCAGCTTTCAAATATTCTAGAAACATGTGCTGCCCTAACCCCTCAGTACTTTACTCTCTCTGCTCTGTGCTCCTGAATGACCAACAGCTGTTGTGCATACTGCCACTGCTATTTTCAGCTCCACCGTCCCTCTCTTGACTCTGAAGACACCACATCCCTTTTGGCCACCCCCTTTCAATAATGCGGGTATGTAGGTAATCATTTGTCCTCAGTTGAAGTTGATGTAAGATGTATGGGAAAGTAAACTGGTTTCTGTATGTACTTACTTTATCATGTTTTCCAGGCATCCAGATTTCTGATAGGTTTGCTTCATTATAGACTCTACCTCTCAAGCTGAAATAAAAAACACCCAACTCCCTTCCCCTGTCAGGAAGTGGATCTTCTATGAGGGTCACACCAGCCAGTACTATTCTGTATTTCTTTGGACAAGTGAATATATGTTACATAATATTCATCTCTATTAGGGTGTAGGGGCTCTCAAATTATTTCAAAACACACACATAGACTTGGAAGATGGGAAAGGAAATGAGAGAGCTGATTCATTCCTGAATGTCATCTGTATAGCTATAGAAGAATTTGCCCAGGGCCCTTGCTGCCTTCTTGTCCTGACAATATTATTATGTCTCTGGATTCACAGATTAGAGTGTATGGTATTAAAATACTATTGCTTAACTCCTTGCATATGTTATTTGTCTATAGTTATTTCAGGATGTAGCTATTTAAGGTTTAATTTTCTTTCAAAACTCACGTTTTGGGCTTTATATGATCCTTCTTTAGCCAAGAACTCATATAATTGGATAGCTGCTGTTATGTTTTGCATGCCAAAATTTCCAAATAGCAAAGCATCAGCCATTTTCTCCATTGCTTTCAAATTTCCCATGTCAGCTGCTTTGGCAAAGAAAATGTAGGCTCTGTTTCAAAAATATGAAGTTAGAAGTTTGATTATCAAAAAATAAAAATTTCTCCTCTCTCCTTTATGCTACATCTAATGACTCTATGTAAGACCTAGTTATTATTGCTATTAACAATACAGTCTAGCTGAAGTTTATCACATATCTAAACCAGTAGTTTTTTTTTCATACTTAGATCAGTCTAATGTTATAGTTTCAAATATCCCTAATAAAACACAAAGTCACAAAAAAGAGACATACACAGAATGCATTGTGCTTCATGCTAATACTCCAAATGAAGTGAAAAATTGAGGCACTGTCCTTAAAACTTAATTATCTTATGATAACCCACTTTATTTATATTTGTTTTATAAGTTGAACTCTGACATATATAACAAAATATTCCAAATCAACCAAAAACTAATCAAAACTGAAATGTCAGATATAGAAAAGTACTATAATGAGAACAATGGTTCCTTTATATTGCAAAATAATTTTCTGAAACAGAATTTATCTTTTAGCACAACAAAGCCAGTTGTTTTTCCTTGTAGAAAAACAATAACCCAACTAAACCTGGATCATTATTAGGATAGCAGAGTCTGATGTCTGGCCTCAAATCTTGTCTCCACACATTACATAACTGCTCTGTATCTTTCTCATCTATGGAATGGTAGTGCCTACTTAATAGGATTGCTGGGAAGATTCAATGAATTAATCTAAGTGAAGCTAATGGCAAAATGCCTGGTGCAGTGTGAGAACTCAATAAACATAGCTATTGTTATTATTAGAGAAAGTAAATATATTTTTAAAGTTTTAGAGCATGGTGGTTATTCTCCCATAACTAGTGGGTAAATGATATATAAATTTAGTGATTGAAAATATAAATGTCATAGGATAGCCTTACACTGAATTTTTTGAGTTCTGGTCATAAATCTTTTGGAGCAGACTGTATAATAAGTAGTGATGCAGAATCTTGCAAGGTCAAAACGTGTCAGATACAGAGAGTACTTTGGGGATTTATTTTTATTCTTATAACTTCCTTTTCGGTAAAGATAAGACCAAAAAGCATTAACCTCTGATTGTGACCTTTACTTAAATATGTTTTTGTTCCTACAAAAACACAATCTACCATTGCTACAAACCAGGAAGATCAAGAGTCTCAGCTCTATGTACTGCCTATCCATCCTGATGCTAAAATGAGCTGTTCTTGGCCAAAATAGAATGGACAAATGGGCCACAGACTGAAAAACATCCACGTAGGCATGAAGGCTCTGGATGACCAGAAAGAACACTCCAGTAGCACTAGAGGAAGCAAGGAGGTCAAGCAACAAATTATCCAGGGACTAAGCAAAGTGAGGTTTGGGGACTAGAAGGCAAATAATACAAAAGTTCACAAGGATCAATGAATGCAAATATCTGTGATAAGCAGAGCCTCGGATACAGACCCTGGAGATCTTCTGTGACAAGAAGATCTTCTACAATCCCCAAGGGGGAAAAAAAAAGAGGGGAAAGGCGGCAGGGTCAGTTTTCAACAAAAAAAGTTTCCTTATGTGTGTGGATCATCTCAACAGGACTTGGCATTGGATGCTGGGAGAAGATGAAGCTAAATATATCTCCAGGCCACATCAGAAACTGGATGTAGAACAGGAGCTTATCTCCATATCTTCTTGGCTGATAGGGTATAATTCTTAATTCCAGCTAATCCTAGCTGTCATGGAAGCATCTTGATTCCTTGGCATGTCTCAGAGCACTAAGATTCCAAGAGAACATAGAAACCTAAGCAAAAGATACCTCCAAGATAACTGGCATGCATCTAGGATTGGAAGGGAGAGTGTCTGAAAATTTTGCTCTATATCTCCTTTCTCTCATGATCCAAAGAATTTTTGTCTCCCTGACATTTGCCTGTTTAATATCTGCACTGGTAACAACATTGACTTCTTCAACAATTTCCACCCTTGTACATAAGATACTGAGTGAATGAATGAATTAGGCTAGGCTGTCTATGTGAATAAGTCAAAAGGGTTAGTAGTGCCTATAACGTATACTCTCCCCTCCTGAGAAGAGGGGTTAAGATAGAGGAATGAATGGAAATGAAATTATTTCTCTTTGAGCAGTAAGGTATATATTTTTCCTCTCCTCTGACCAGAATCTTAGATATGGATACTAGTTATACTTGACCTAAGTGAAAGCAGATCATCCTGATAGCTGAAGAAATTTTACTGACTTTGTTTACAACCAACTAGGGTCTCTTGCTGTAAGTAAATATGTCTTCAATTCTTCATTGCTACTAACTCAGAAGAGAAAGGGAACTCAACTATATGTATCTGGTGGATCTATGCTACTGCAAAAATAAATGGCTCTTTTGGGCAAGGACTAGAACAGGATAAGTTGGACAAGAATAGCCTGAGACTGAAAAACAACATCCAGATAGACATGAAACTTGACTAACTCCTAAGGCTATTTTAGGGATAAAAATGGGATCATATACATGCAAATGTTTTGAAAATCATCAAGTATTATATAAGTGCTCGTTTAGGTTCATTTCATTTGAAACAGCTAATAATTTAAAATCAAAACTGAATATTTTTATTTTTGATCTGAAAATCAGGTAGTACCTTAATTCTGCAGTTCACTTAATGTATAGGGACCAGTTTGACAAACAGCTCTATTTGTAGGATTTTTCAACACCATTTGATCCTTTTTGTAAGCAAGCTTATGGACAAACTTTCAATGGCAGATTGGATTTTGGCTTGCATTCTTTCCTCAACCTGAAAATTTAACTTGGCTTAAGTAACTGGAAAATGACTTACTGTGCTTTTTGTTTTTGGGTTTTAGATTGCTGGAGAATCTTGACACCCATTTTAAACAGTTGGTCTCCTTCATTTGTGAAATTTTTCTGTGCTTGATTATTTACTACAAAAGTAGAAAAAAGGAAAATAACACAGTTTCTATGTTTCACTTTTTGGAAATAATGAGCTGGCATAAAGGGCTGGGCTGCCATATTAGTTTGGGCTTTGCTTTACTTATTTTTTTAAACTCTGCATTTTAAGATGATTACCTTGCCTTTGATCAGAAAACAGAGAGGCCTACAAAAGTACCCTCTTCCTGTTTGTTGTGAAAGTTTGGGAAGGTAGGGGGCACGGAGAAGATGAGAGATATGTTTATGGTGGTAATATGAAAAGGTGTTAATATGGAAAGAGATATTTCTACCCTAGGTGCTAAGCAGAGGGCAAGAAACTAGGTCTTTCAGGTAACAGATTGTTTTATATGTCATAAAAGTCCAGATATTAGACAATAGGCTCAACAGTCAGACTCTCTTGTCTGAGTATATGTCTCAAAGCCCTAAAATTCCAAGAGATCATGAGAACTTAAGCCATAGACATCTCCAAGATAGATGGTATGCACTTAAGATTGGACGGGAGAACGTCCCTGAAAATTGTGCTCTAAGCAAGCCTTCCTTCTCCCATTGACCCAAATAATTTTCTAGCCTGCCTGAGAAATTTTGGGAATGAGCATTAGGAATAAAAGGGGCAGAGGAGGTGTGTCACAGCAAACCTGACTATAGGGTAGACACATGGAATACTAATAAAAACATACCATGTGGGATGGGAGCACAGAGTAAATTTTATAGGACCTAAGGAAAAAAAATGGAATTTTATCTACAATAATAATGATGTTTCTAAAACATTTCATCATACTTCACAATATCCAAAACATTATCACCAGTTTACATATGGTAAAATGGCTTCATAAATCAGTTTTAGATCTTCCTTCTCTCCTGCAGCACATACATACTCCCCTCCCTGACCCTACATATCTCTTTCACAGCATCACAATGTCCATTAGGAGTCTTAGCAAAATCTCTGATTAGGTAAGGGTGAAGTCATTTTAAAGGACAGGCATTCCTGGATTTGATGCCTCTTTAACAATACTACAAAGGTCTTTAAATCATAATTTTTTCTCTTCTTCCTGACAAGCTATCATAGTTGTCTACTTTCCTTTTTAATTAAATTTTTTAACTTAAGAGCCCATTTATAATTATTTTGAATGCATCAGATATTCCAGTCCAATATACTAACACTGATCTATTAGTAGGAGGATAGGAATTCCTCCTATTAATGTGCTTTTAAAAAGTGAGGATAAATTTTGAAAGGCTGACTCTACATACACACACATGAGAAAAATAATTTACACAATTGATATATACATATGGCTTTTACCTCTATTGTATTTCTTGTTTTTATTTCTCAGATGATTGAAATACAAAATTACTATAGATGGCCTAATTATCAGATAAACTTATTTTGATAGTGCTTTTATTACCTTTTTATGATTTATTTTCCCACAATTTGGGGAAATCACAACCAGGAAATGATTTGAGGAGGCCATTCTGACCTTGATATAAAGGACCTTTATGAGAGAGGATTCCACTATACAATCAACTAGTGAATGGCTGTTCTGTCCTGATAGGGGCTCCAGGTAGATTGAAAAAAGTGTTGGGGATGAATATCATTTATAAAAGAGAGCAGAGTAAGTGTGCCAGAATGCTATTTAAGATAATAGGTATGGAAAGTATTCCAACTAGATGAAGTTATATTTTAGTGTTTGTCAGACATGCAATTTGTAGAGAGCTCATGACATTTCATGACTTCCTTAGTATTAGTTTCATTACTCCATAGCTGGATTGTGGCTGGATTGTTCCCCCAAAATGCTAATGTTGAAGTCTCAACATTATACATAAGCCCTTCTTTTTTAAAGATTTATTTATTTATGCATACAGAATTGGGGTACAAGCCAGAGGTGTGGGGGATGAGAGGATTCACTAGAGACAGAGTGGGGAGCAGAACAGGCAGATATACTGAAATACACTGCTGAGGGGAGCAGCAGATGTTTCAGGAGAGGTCTGCCACACCATGTGGGTCATCTTCCTGACTGGGGATTGAACTCATGCTGTAGTGGCTGCTGTTAACTTCTTCATGCTGTACTTTAACCTGCTGCGCCATCAGGGAGGGCCCCACATAAGCTCTTTTAAAATTCCATTAAAGTGTCCTTAATATACATTAAGGCATCCTTGAAAGATGAAGAGATAGCAGGGGTATAGGGGTACAGAGAAAAGACTGGGTAGGGGTTCAGTAAGAAGGTGTTTATAAGCCAAGGAAAGAAACCTTAAAATGAAATCAACCTTACTAACACCTTTATATTGGACTTCTAGTCTCCAGAATTGTCAGAAAATAAATTTTTGCTATTTACACCACCTAGTCTGTGGTCTTTTGTTAAAAAAAAAAAAAAAAAAAAGCCCTAGCATGAATGCTTACTCTGGATAGTATTCAAATCTAGTTGTTTGAATTATACACAAACTTAGCTTCTCATGAAAGCAGTGAGGGCCTTCTACATGTAAGAAGGGATATAAATATCTGTTGGCTCCCCAAGGTCTTCAGATGCAGTACATCTGACTTTCCAGGCACTAATGCTTAGAAAAATGCATCAGTAGGCTACTTCTGAGAAGATCTTTAAGTAGTCAGTATAGCAGTAGGACACCTTCTAGGTGTCCAGTAGTCAGTCAGTCCTTGAACCCAGCTCACCTTTATGCTTTGTCTTGTGGAAACTTCTTTCCTCTGTTGAAGTTTATTTCTCAATCCCTATCATTTTTATTTTGAAATTTATGCAGAATCCTCTTGCTCAATAATGGTTAAAATCAAATTGTTGGAACAAAAAGGGACCACTTGCTTATTTCAGATATTAATGAAGAGGAGAACTGTGGACAACTTGTTCTCTGTCATTCATGCATTTTCCTGTTCATTTTAATCAGTTTGAATTGAACACTTAGTTTGGATTAGATTCAATATTAGATACTGTGCTCATAAAGATGACCAAGATGCTGTCTCAACCTGGCAACAGAGACAGATATTACAATGTCACAGTTTAAGCTATGTTATATGACAGAGTGGGAATATAGAAGCCTTCACTGTTTTTTGTTTTTAATTTTTTTAAGGATTTATTTATTATTTATTCATACAGAACTGGGATACAAGCCAGAGATGCGGAGGGTGAGAGGATTCACCAGAGACAGAGCGGGGAGCAGAACAGGCAGATAGACCAAGTACACTGCTGAGGGGAGCAGCGGGCGGGTCAGAAGAGGTCTGCCACCCATGTTGTCACCTCCGGGGCAGGTGGGGATTGAACTCATGCGGAAGTGGCTTTAGCTTCTTAGTGCTGTGCTTCAACCCACTGCACCACCAGGGAGGGCCGCCTTCATTGTTTTTTAAGGGACAGAAACCTAATCCAATTGACTTATGCAAAAGAAATTTACAGGGAGACTCAAAAGAATCAATGGGGTCAGTCAGGAATGATGGTATCTCTGGAAGCAGAGAGTCAGATGCTACTCCTGTAAGAAACCGAAATTCAATACTTTTAGGATTTTCTACTCTGCTCTAGACTCCAGGATGAGTCTAACTGAGTCTATTTTGGGAAGCCAAGGCTTCTCATTACATCCCTATAATAATATATTAGTTGGAGAAGATTTATTCCTCAAAAGGAAATTGAGATAATGAGAAAGGTAAAATGGATGATGGGAAGCCCTCAAACTGCAAATGCCCACTTCAGCTACCTTATCCTGGCTAAAAGAAATAAAGAGATCTTCATAGATGAAATGACATTTTAGATAGTTTCTGAAAGCTGGGTAGGAATTTTTCAGGTTAAGAATATGAAATTGGCATTTTGTTTGGAGAAGTCTGTGCAAATGAATATGGGTATGAAACAATGGCAGAGTGAGGACTTGAATGACATGGTTGGTCATGGCATTCAGGCTGGCAATGGAAGTAAGTGATACTGAGGAGTGTGAACAGAGGGGTGAAGAGAAAGCAGGAGGAACCAACAGATGTGTTTGTGAAAGTGAAATCAGGTTTGGTAGGAGAAAGAAATCAGAGGAAGTCAGCTCTGATCAGAGATAATTATATTGGCGTTTGAATTAAATAGTTCTGTACTTGGCTGGTAATTGGCTAAGGAGAAATAGGGTCAAATATTTTTGGAATTGTGGAGGTCTAAGAAAACACAAGTTCCTCAACATGGATACCTAACCACTAGGATACTGGTGGCCTATAGTTATTGACTGATTGAGGTGGGGAATAACAGTTCAGCCAGCCTTTGGGGCAGCCTTCCCTTGCAATTCACTCTTCAAAGCCCTAAACTTCCCCTGAAAGCCAAACCTTTGGTCAGCTCTTATCCTTGCTTATCCTGCATTCCTCATTCTCTATGTTCACCACAAAAGCTAAAATGTTAACAGTTAAATTAAAAGTAATGCAAATGAATACTATCTAAATCATCTACAAAAATAAAAGGAAAAAGAATAATAGATTACTTTGAATATCAAATTATAGATAACTCATGAACTACATGCATGGTCATTAAGAGTTAAAGAAATTAACATGCATGATCATTAAGAGTTAAAGAAATTTACCTGGATGAAGACTATCTTATGTCTGATTAAAAATCTTGAGCTTTCAATATTAAAATGATAGATAACAAGAGATAAAAATGGAAAATTCTTTCCATTAAAGAAAATCTTGCTCATGTAGACATTGCATCTTTCTTATCTAACCTCAATTATATTTATTATAAACCAACTTTAGTCTCTGATTTTCTGAATAATGCATCAGGACAGCTCTTTGCATTTGCCCTTAATGTGTGCCAGGAAGATACAATCCCAGATAAGAAAGCAGAATAACGATCCATTACTAAAAATACCCTTCAGTCCTAGAAAGAATGACTCAGCAAAGAGTCTAGTGAGATGAAGATGCAATCAGCTTGAAGACACTTTAATAACAGTACAGATATTCACAATAATCAAATTTATTCAAACTGCCCAGATATCCTGATTGACAGCATAAATATTGTGGTATTGTTAGGAAATGGTA